GGACATCAAGTGTTTTAGTATCAGTTACCTTTATAGGTCAGCTTGAATTATTGAGGGCCATCTTAAAAATGAATGTAAACACAAAATCACAAGATACCATCTGATATGCTGCAGATATACTACTGTCTTATTGCTGATGAAGACAGTAGTATATCTGCAGCTCCCTTGCCCCGACAAGACAAGAAATTGCCTTTTTCTCTGACCTTTGGTGTCGGAGAGTAAACAAATGTTGTTTAAACTTTTACTTAAAGATTTTCCTTATATTTTGCACATCTGAGCAGAAGTTTAGTTCATCAGGACTCTATGATGCACTTATTGAGATTACTGTTGATTTCTCAATAAAATCTCTCACAACCAAGTTTAAAACACTTCCACCATCCTGAAAGGAAATAAGCCATTATTTAGCTGAATGTTCTAATACTTATTGTTTGAAACAAGCCTTTGCTGTACAAATGTCTGACCTCGGGCTTACCACATGGGACAGTTTGCAGCCTAATGCTTTTTAAATGCATACTTTTGTAAAAACAAAATCTGTTTTGATTTGTCAGTAAGTTCGACTCACTTTGTGTGTACTTGCACATTCATCTCTGCAAAGTAGTGCAAATCTTGATTAAACTGTGTATAAGCTTTTTTACTTACAATAACTTTTTGCCAATGCTCTTAGTAATGTTGTTTGGTTAATAACTACTCCCAAAAGACTATTATTGTAATTATTGTAATTGTAATCAATTTTAAATGAATGATTGCGCCAGTGTGTGACCTCAAAGTTGTTAGAATAGAACATAGTTACCAGAGATGGCTATTTAAAACGTACAACTTACCCTTTGGACTTTTATTCAGCCTTTGTGCCTGGTGGCTTCAGTTACCTCTAGTACAGTGTTTCTCAAACTGTGGGTATGCGAGCGCTCTCTAGTGTTATGCAGGGGAAATTAATATTTTCACATTTACATTTTCAATTAGGTAAATCTGAAACATTCTATGTACAATTAATACAACATTTAAACATGAACATCTTTCTAAACATTTCTAAACCTCTCTCCTCTGTGGTGGAAGCTAATAGTGAAGGCCCATGCTGCTATATTCTAATGTTGGTCATCATGGTGGTACTCAGAGAGATCAAGGTTTTCTCTGGAGGTACAGAGTAGAAAAAGTTTCAGAACCACTGCTCTGGTATATACACGAATGCAGAACGACATTGGAATGTGTGTATTTTTTATTTAACTGTCTGTCTGTGTGTAAATGATCGTGGAGTTCAATCAGAGTTTATTCTGCCTGTTTATCTATTCTCCACGATCTATTTTATGACCAAAGAGATTGTATGTTTTTCTCGAAATTTAATGTCAAAAGTTGCCTTTAACTTGTTGTCTTCGATTGTAGACCATATACTGTATGTTGCGGTGATATGTGAAGACCACTAGGTGGCAGTGTGTGCCTTCTAATAAATCATGGTATGGCATTGAAAGAAACCGGTAAAGCTGCTATTTTTGCACGGGTGTCGGGGGCGGGTGGTTGTTGGGGGTTTTTTTGCACCAGAATTAACTAATAATTAAGTGACTTAAAACTGTTAATTGTACATCAGCTGAAAAAGAAACATTTTCAGTGATTATGTATGTAGCTTTTTTATTTAGAGACTGTAATGTTATTATTATTACTATGCACGATGATGTTATGATGGTGTCTGTCCAGAATAAAAAAGAAATAATAAATGCATGGCTGTTTTTAATTATATTAATATATATATATAAAGAAAAATAATTTGTTTTATGTGTATTTAATTTCAACAGGTTATTCCATTTCGTTGTTTTATTCTTACTTCTTTGAAATCCCATTTCTTTTTAAAGTTAAATGTGTTTTATACATACGTCACTGCACACAAGTCTTTATTATATGTGTGTATATATATGTGTGTGTGTGTGTGTATAACGCACAAATTGTGCGATGATATGAACGGCCAAAATTGTTGTGACTGAAAACAGTAGAAGACAACAAAAGACCAACATTTAAGCTTGAAAAAGCTTCTGGAGACTGCTGTTCCACCTCGGTCGGTGAAGTGGGCGGAGACTGAGTGCTGTGAAGCCGCTGCCCAGACAACCTGCAAACATGCGACTGCGCACACTTTTGCAGCCCCCAGTCTCAGCAGCGGCAGCATATGTTTCTGAATGCAATCTGAGCTGCACTGAGACATGGGGAGGAGGAGGAGGAGGATAACGAAGAGGGACGTTGCTGCGTAAAGATCAAGTATTTCTTTACCCACAGTCCTCTCAACTCAACTCAGGTGAGTAGATCCTACTTTTGCCTCATGTTTCGACACAAGATGATCAGTGGACAGAAACTATGCTAATGTGTTACAACAGACACGAAAGTAAAGTGTACTTTGTTAATTTCTGCCAAATGTCGTTATATCTATAATACAAATAACATATTTGAGAGAAAATGCAGACACTGACAAGACCATGATGTAATTCCAATATTATAGGGAATTTGGAATTCCATGTTTTAGAATTTTCGTCACTTGAATTGATTTAATAATGTCATGAAAATGTGTAGCTCTGCTTTTGTAGCGCACACGGACATATTTTTACAACGAATATAAAGCAGTAAAAAGCCAAACACAAATATGTGTAAATACTATGTGTATTAAACATAAGGATCCACTTTAAGTAGCAGTGAATATTTAAAATAATAGTCAAATATTTACTAATAAAAAGACTGTATTACAAGTTATCAAGTTGTAGCTAAAAAGAGGCAAGAGGCAACAAAATAAAGGAAATGCAGCATCCAAATGTCCAAAAACGATATTGTTTTTTACTAATCTTTAGTTGTTGTTGTGAATGTGTGTGTCATCCCTCTTCAGCATCTGCTCACAGTCCTCTCTGTTTGTTCCATCATCTGCAGGATGCACATGAATAATGTGTTAAATCACTGGAGTAAGTATTGACTGATGTTCACACTGCTGATTCACACTGTCCTGTCACAGCAGACAGAGTCGTGTTTTTTTCGCTAAACTTTTCTTGTCTGGTGAATATGAATATGTATCAGAAAGTACCTAAGGTGACCAAAAACTATAAATATTTAAGAAATAGTTTGTCAAAAATAACCAAAATGTAGCCTTTATGCATATAGAAATATTTTGGGAAAATTAAAAAAAAGATCATATCTAAGGGTTAATCTTACTGTTGCTATATATTAAACAATAATTGATGAGCAAAAAATACTAATGTTATGTGTTATATTTGACCCCAAAAATATTTCCAATAAAACGTGATGAAAAGAGTCACTCTTTATAGTAAAACTATTTAAAAAAACAACATTATACAATTTTGATTTTTTTTAGTAGCAAATTATAATATTATTGTAATTATAATAATATATGTTACGATATGTCAAAAGTTAGCACTGACGGCATTGACCCAATAACGATCTAAAACATTTGTAATAATTTTTTATAGAGATATCTATTTATTTTTTAAACAAGTCAGTCCATGTCTAATCTGTCACCTTTTGTTTACCTTCGCACTGCCATTGATGTCACATTCCTGAGAAGCTTAGTTACCGAGCGACAAAGTTCATATTTGCTCTGTCTGTAACCAGTAAAAACAGTGTTTATTAGGGACGTGTTGTCTACACACACGGATGTTTTCTTCACCAATAACTGTCAAGGACACAGCCATTATTAGTTTGTGCTGGGAAAATATAAGTACAACCAGAATAATATTCATATAGTATTCATACAGAGTACTGTGTACAAAGGCTCCTGTTTTAGAGGCTATAGTTTCTGTAAGGTGAGCGGCTTCTGTGTGTGGAAACATGTGACAGGTTTTCAGTGCGATTATGTTTCATAAGTAGAGCTTTTAAGAAAAAACTGTGTGTGTGTGTGTGTGTGTGTGTGTGTGTGTGTGTGTGTGAGTAGGAAGGGTCTGGCTGACTAAGTGTCTTCAGAACCATGTGAACGTCACACAGTGATTCACAGTCTTCCTATTTCTTGCCTGAAGAAGTGTTGATGGCTCATCAAGTCTTAATGTCAGGCAGGTTTCCCTCTGACATCCTGGGCTTCCTGTCTAAAAACATGCTTCTATGTTGCACTTTCACAAACAAATGTATTTATTCTCAAAACACAACTTTTAAAACAAAAAGACAGCACAACTTTTAGTTAGATTTAGTTTTAGATAGTTAAGAACATATAAACTTTGAAGATGTTTTTAATGCAGTGATTCTTAACCATAGGGCTGTGGCCAGAACTCGGGCTGCCAATGCCACCTAGAGCAGTGTTTCCCAAACATTTTTTCCGGGGACTCATATTTTAAAAGTCTCAAAACTTCACAACCCAAGTCAATAGACATTATTCGTAAACTCCTGGGAAACATGATGTGAGACGACCCAAAAAAAACATCTCTTGCGACCCACCTGGGGGTCGCGACCCAGTCTTGTGAAATGATGACCTAGAGGGCTGCAAAAAAAATAATTAAATTTTGCACCTGTAGGTAGCAGTGGCTGAGGGACTGCATCAGTCAGTTCTTTAACAATAACAACAATGGAAAGTTTTTTTAAGCATTACATTATTTTTGATGAATTACATACATTTTTGCATAGGTACAATCCTGGCTTCATTAAATTTGGCTTCGAAGATCAAAGATTGAACCTTCTTTTTTTTCTAATCTCGTACAGAAGAGTTGTTGCCTAGACACGTGGCATGAAGGGTCTGTTGGTTAGTTATGTATTTCATCAGCATATGAATGGACGTTGAGACCAGTTGATCAGGAACAAATGGTAAATGTTGAAGAGGCCAGGGAGGAGAACAGCTGTACGTTCTCCCTGCAGCTCTCCAGCAGATGAACCTTTGAGTAAATGCAGTATGTGGTTTCCTGTGTCACATGTACCACAGAGGCCTCAGTGAATATACAGTTACAATGTAGATGTTTCCAGGCTATGGTAAAGATTCTGGTTGAGCTACTGAGGGGAACTCTTGCTGTTGAAACTGTTCCTGTTGTTGGCTTCTTCTACATTACAAATGTTTATAAAAGACAAAGAAAAGTCTGGACTGCTGGCAGGCCAGTCTGTCACTGCCATCGTCTTGCTGAAAATCAGTAAAATTAATTATAGATGTAGCTGTTCCAGGCAATTGAACAGAGTTTTTACCGCAGATGAAAAGGATTTAAAAACATGGTCCTGACTCTATGTATCTCTGTCCATCATAGAAACACAATTAACGATACCGTATTGTCTGGACTATAAGTCGCTCCGGTGTCTTAGCGTCTGTCAGTGTGAAAATAATGAACATCTGAAATTATATATTTTAATATATATAAGTCGCACCTGAGTATAAGTCTCAAACCCAGCCAAAGGATGAACAAAAGTGCGTCTGGAAAAGACCCTACATGCCAACTTAGTAAAAATTGCATTTTTTTAACCCATAGATAAATCTCTCACAGAGTTTAAAGCAAACCGGTGAACTATAACTACTTCTTGTTCTCGACTTTTTCAAGTGAGAAGCCTCCTTGAATTTACTTAACTGACGTTTTCACGCTTACTTTGTGTTCTTCCCAACTTTTTTGGGGAGTGTTATAAGCTTGTGTTTCCAACTGAGTTCGTGTTTAGAAACAAATAGATGAAGTTTGTCGATAAGTCATAATTAACTGATAAAGTTGGCCTATTTACAAATGTACTGATCTGTTTTAGAGTATCAATAATTCTAAAATGTAAGAGATGCAGGATTGACTGTGACACAGAATCCCTTTACAGACACATTGAAGATGCGTTTATATATAAATATAAATGTATATGGAATCCTTTAATCATAGACAGTCAGACCTCAGTCAGAAATGCAGTGGAACAGACTAGGAAAAAACTAACAGTGCCAGTGTCTGAGCAGGGCCCTTAGGGAAGCGGCAGCGACAAAGTCTGGTGAGCAGGACTGCAGTGGTTGTTACTGGTGTGACGGAAGGGGAAGTGCATTGGTGGCTAACCACCAGCCCCTGGAGCAGCGTTTTAACTGGCTGAGTAATAAACTTGGGAACAACGAACAAACAAACACTGACAGATTTACAATTAGAGGTCAAATACGAAAGAAAAAGAGCTGGAACAACAGACAGGAGCAGATTGAAGATGATGACGATGATTAGCAGGCTGTGATGGCAGAGTTTATGTCAATGATACATTAACATAGTTATTTAACACTGTTTCTTTTCACCAACCAAAACCTCTTGTATATTTGTCTTTGCTCCTGGACCCACTCAGATCTACGCTAACCTGCCATTAGCCTCAGATTAAGCCACTGAGGTTCAGACAGTTAAGAGCTCACATTTCCTGAAGCTCCAGAGTGGATGGTGAGGGGAGAAAACTTAACGTTGGCCATAATCAAAGTGGACACTGTCATGAGGGTAATGGCCAACATGGAAACCACCAGAGTAACTCTGTGGACAGAAAGTTGCTGCTGGAACCAGTTGTTGCACTAGTTTGCACATACCTTCTGTCCATGTGTTAAAATAATCTAATGAGCTAAACACTCAGAAGATATTATTAATGATCATCTGAAAATGCAGCTGCAGCTGTTTGCTATCTCGCCAGCTGCTGATCACTGTGATGAATCCACGGTGATTTTGAGGTGTCGTCCAATATTAATCGAAACATAAGAAGTAGGTAGAAGTTTTAAAAACCTCAAGACACGTTTATTACTTCCTTTTATGTCCGGAAACTGGTTTCCTGAGCATTTGAGGATAAAATCTTTTCGTATGTGGTCATACGCTCAACCACAGGGAGGAGCACGTACGGAGGAGAAACATGTATTTGATACAAACACATTTCTGCAGTTTCATCGTTGTTGACACACGGTTGAGTTAGATGACAAAATATAGCAAAGTATAAAAAAAACAAACAAAACAAACGTAAACTGTAACCAGAGCTGCAGCAGGTCAATCTAGATAATGACTGAGGTCAGTGGAGCACCAGGAACTCAAGAAGAAATGTCTAATGTTTCTCCTCCTCAGGCTGAGTGACCACAGATTGTTCCAGCAGATCAGAAATTTTTCTCACAACTTTTCAATAACTGGTCCGCGCTTAAAAAGAAAAGAAATGGTTAAATCTGAGACATTTTTTTCTTATTACAGAACTTATTAAATGTTTTTTTTTGAGTTAAAATATAGATAAATGTAAGCATTTGGCAATAATAAACTGAATGTTACCAATTAGCAATAATAACACAAGCGTTCCAAAAAATTAAATAAAAACATGGAAATATTTTTGAGCCAATTTAGACAAAGTATAAGAAAATGTCAGGCATAATGATATCCAACATAAAATAAATCTCAAAGTTAATAAAGAACCTGTTCAAACTGTCCTAAAATACTTCAGAATGTCCCTAATTTAAAGACAGTGGAACCTTACAGTCCAGTCTGGTTCTCACATCAGTGTTAGTGACTGCTGATTCCTTTAGCTTTTACTCAGTCATTGGCAGTCTCCATGTCAGGCTTCGGTCATTAACTAAAAATCCACTTAAAAAGGTCTGACCATTGCAACAGAAGAGTGTTTGTGTTGGTACTGTTGACCCGTCCATGTTCCATTAGTGGAAAATACATACAAAAGTGATTGATCTGCTGTGGATCTTCTCACACTCTGTGCTGGACATCAGCCTGAGGCTCTGAGCTCAGTTCAATGCTGTCACACGAATGAGTAACACTGTCAAGGTAGTGGATGGCACAGGAATCACAATGAGAAATATAGAACTGTTTTAGCAACAACAGATATAATGCTGTGTTTATATCCCTACGCCTGTATTGCTCAAATATAAACCTCTGATGCTAGACCACTGGTCACATAACTTTGTCAAGCTTTTTAGGGGTCAAACAATGAACTAAGTATGGTTTCACTTTATGTGGAAAAAGAGTTTTAAAACAAGGTGAAAAAGTAGACACCTAAAGTAAGACTAAGAGTTAGCATAAAGGTGTCTTAAAAACGCAAAAAAGTAAAAAGCAGAAAAGCAAAAAACGTTCCCAAAATAGAACTTATTAACTTATAATATGTGAGTATTAGAGAAGTGTAAAGTCCCAGAACATATAATAGTTAAACTCAAAAATAGACAAAAAGTTACTTCAGCCAAAATAAATCTAAAGGTTAGATATAACCATGTCTAAAGAGATTAGAAACTTAGCTATGAGCCACCGGACAAACTATTTAAAATGTTCTATTTAAAATAAGTATCAGATTATAACTTGAAAAATATATAAAAACTACAGAATACAACATAGCTGTTTTGTTTTAATTACAGTGGTTTTAATATTGATGAAATATTAAAAAACATCAGTTCAATGACTAACTGCAGTGATGTCCATAAATATTCTCACCTTTGTTAATTTTTTACTGCAGTACTATTGGCTTATCAGCAGTTTTTGCATCATCCACACTCAGCTGTGACTGACGGCACTGCAAACCACAGTTATGTTTGATGCTGCAGCCAGGCCTCAGTCAGACCCTGAAGTCCTGATCCTAGTCTGTCACCTTGGTTTTCACCAGGGCCAAGAGTTGTGTTTTTTTTTTTTGTTTGTTTTTGTTTTGCTCTGGAAATTTCCTGCAGGATTTTATAGCTTGTGGTTTGAGGTGATCAATGTAATTACAGCCAGAAATGTTATGACCAAAGAAGCGGCCAGCCCGACTGGTCTGCTACATACTCCACATCTGAAGTCACTCACACTCTGAGATTCTGAAGTGTGGTTTTATAAGGTACTAATTCTCTCCCACTCTGCCCAGAATTACAAAAATGTATTACAGCCTTCTGCTGCCTGTTGTGGTCAGTTGGTGTTATTACTTCCAAAATCCTTTTGCAGGCTTCGAAAATAAGAGAAAAGATATTTGACTTGATTTATCCAGGCAGTGATAGATCACTAACTTGTCTCATATTTTGATTAAGAATAAGTCTGTCAGACAGTGAACTTGTCAGTCACTGCTTTGATGAACAGTCTTGTTGAACATGTCAGGTTCATTAACACCTTTTATCAGTTCTGAGAAACACAGCCTTTTCCTGTAACCCTGCGAGACTAATGTCATTCTGGCTCGGTGTGAAAACATCAGTGAGTCAAAACCTTCAACTCAACCATGACGTGACTCCTGCTCCCTTAGAAAATGCCAGGGTCTCTTTTATTTTTCACCACTGTTAGATCTGCAGTGGGAAAAACACACGTCTGTTGAGCTGAAGAGGGAAGTAAAATCCATACAAAATGTTAACCAAAGCAGGTGGTTTTAGAGTATACAGAGTATTCCAATTATTTTTGTTGTCATAGAAACCTTCCTATCTTGGATAAATTAGATCAATCTAAAACCTCATGACTAAGACAATGTCTGTGCTTTTTTACCTAAAATGAATACCATCTGGTTCCACCGCATTTTTAAAATGCTATGAAGCTGAATCAGAAACTGGACATTTTTAAATAAATTTAATATTTAACCCTGGAAAACAATTGAATTTTCTGGTTCAGCATTATGCTCAGCAATACACAGTTATATTGAGGCCATCTGGACTGGTTTAGTTTCTTTAGGATGTGGTAGATAGGTGAAACGTCTTTAAGAAACCAAACCACTCCAGTCGCCCTTGGTGATAAGATGGCTGAACACTTACACAAACAACACATTTTACATTTCCGTCAGTGTGTCGCTCACAACAGGGATGATACTGTTCCAACATGTCTTTTCACAGTCTAATAAGGACATGAGGTTGAAGCTAACATCACAACTGTGTGTGATCAGGTTCAGACTCACACTGGTGGTTTTTCAAAGAAGGAATGTCAGGAGAGATCACACTGCCTTGTGAACGTTCATTTCTTTACCGTCAAACATTCCTGATTATCAGTGACAGGAAACTGCAGTGTGTCTTTTAATGTTGTGTCTTCGGTTGGAGAACGGTCACAAACTGTCCGTGAAACTGTCTGTGACTGGTCTTCACACATAATGTTTTTCAATGTATTTCTTGCACGATGACTGTGCAACGTTCACACATAGTTGTGTTAAAATAAACACAGCCTGATAGGTCACTGTACAACTAGACTCGTAAAGTGATCGCACAATCAAATTTGTCTTCTGCATGTAGACCACCTGTGGGGAACAGTTAGTCATCTGAGAAGTTCTTTCTCAACACAAGAGAAGGAAAGGAAAGTGAACTCCTTGTCATTGTGACAGAGCTCACCACTGCACACAACCAAATGTGACCTCTGCTTTTAACCCATCACCAACGTGTGACCAACAGTGGGCAGCTTTAAGGGGAGCAGTGAGTGGGGACGGTGTCATGCTCAGAGCACCTCAGTGGTAACTTGGCAGCTGGGGGACTAGAACCTGAAACCCTCCAGACCCAAGGCCGCTTCCTTTACCACTAAGCCACCACTTCCACAACTCAGTCATGGTAGGATTTGAACCAGCAGTCTCTCTGTAACAAGCCAGGTCCTTTCACCACAGCTTCATGTCATTTCTCCCTCATACCAGGCTGGACCAACCTATAGCTGTGCCTCCTGCAAACAAAGGCTGACAACAAAAAGACCGGCCCCATTTGTTGCTATTCCAATCACGACGTTGCATTTCACAAGCTTGCTCTTTCAGACTGCCAAATGATATTACCATATTCAGGGACACTGCTCCACGTGTCAATCAGAAACATAAAAAAAAATCCTAATGAAGCACTGGTTTATTTATCTAATGATAATGATGTTTAATGGTGAAGTACTAAGCTAACCTTTTTGTTAACTTTAATGTAACATCTCTGCGGTTACTTCTTGGCTTTTAATCACACTGTAAGTTATAGTTTGAAATTACTTTGAACCATTTTCTTCACTGATGTAATCTAAAAGTGTAAACTGTGAATATTGAGCAGCACAAGGACACACAGCCTGAGAAGCTACAGTTGGTTTAGCTTAGCTTGGTAGAAAAAAATGCTGTTGATTGTTTATAGTGTCAGCGTGTGCTTTACACCAACGTCACTGAAAGAGAGAGAGAGAGAGTGGGACACAAAGAGAGAGAGCGGTAGTGCTTGGGTTTTCAGTGAAATCTGCAGCTCTGACCTTCAGTGATGTCAGTCTGATAGTCTGTGGCAGGATCTGGGTCAGGATCACCCTCTCTGTCGGGAACATGAAACAGCTCTGCACCAACAACAGATACACTGCTGTATGACACTGGCCATGAAGGCCATACTGTTCAAAACCCATGCAAATTAAAAACAAACAAACAACACCACCCTTAACTCTGTTGCTTTCCAGTATGTCAAAGCCTCTATACCGTAAGCTTCTAATAAACAGGCAACAACATTATGTCAGAACCTTTTTCTCACCCAGTAAGGTAGTGAATGGGAACATCCTCAGACCCAATCCTTCTCTGTGCCTTGGTCCACGTTTGAACTAAGAAAGTTTGTTCAGTTTGTGAACCACGTAGTTGATCATCACCAAAGTAGTCTGTGCTTCCGTGAATATATATATATTGACAGTTGTGTTGTGTTATATTGGCTGCCCACTTCACTGACCACTCTTCAATGTCCCCCGGCTCCTGTTTCTATATTTACCCTCAGATCATTATTCACTCTCTTTGTTTGTCTTTTGTGAAGAGCCGTCTCTTATTCTCATCTCAGTGTAAATGTCACTCTTTCTTCAGCCCCTTTGCCAAACACTCAGTGTTCTAATGGGAATCTTTAAAGAACCTTTTTCCAAATCTTTCATTTATCGTCAGGTTATGGAGTCAGTGTTTTAATGTTAAACACAGTGACGGACATTTGAGTATGAATTGAATTATATTAATTTTTCTCGTTATTTGTATGTGTGTCCTAAGTTTTATGGCAAATGAGCTGCACTTGTTTTGTGTACTTTTTATTTATTGCTTCACAAATGTATTTATTTAATTTATTACACACGCTAGTTATTGTTTCTGGTTTAGCATAGTATTTTTTCTGCCTTTTTTTCAATTTTTTTTTCATCACTATTATACTTTGTGTAATATTTGATTCAATTTTGGATAAATTCACTATATCCTGGACTAACTTGTCAAACTTATTTTAGGCTGGGGGCCACATTAGCACAACAGTTCCCCTTGGAGGGCCAGTTGTAACTGCAAGTCTCTAAAGCTGCAACTACTCAGTAATGTATTAATACACGTTTCTGCAATTTATTATTATTAATTCAACTTTATTGTACATTGCTCTGTGTATTAATAAATAATGTATCAAGTTAAGCAGCTCAGCAGTACGAAAGCAGGCAGTTAAATGCTTTTTAAGCTATCATGGGCCACAGAAAATGATTTGGTGGGCCGCATTTGACCCACGGGCCTTGAGTTTGTTTCTTTTGAAGTTTCTTGGCAAACACAGTCATGACTAAATAGTAACCATTTTGCAACCTTTTTTGATTTTGTAAAATTACTGTTGGTAACAATATTTTTGAAATATTTGAACTATATTTCAGCTTCTCTCAAACATCCTTTTAAAAATACTTTGAAGAATATTTTGTTTTGTTTTACTGTAACCTGTGTTTGTATTTTTTCTCCCAGTGGACATCTCCAGAATGTGTGATGTGGACGTGTCCTCAGAGCCAACCAGTCCCACCCTGTATGGGGAATCTTCAGACCAGTACCAGTACAACGTAGACCGATGGCAGAAGCTCCGCACTGCGGTCCGTAAGCTTGAATTCTGGGAAAACTTCACTGCGGAGCTGATCGGTAGTGGCTTCTTCTCCAAGGTCTATAAGGTATCTCCACTGATCTCTCGCATGTTCTCTGCCGGCCTACGGTACGTGTGAGCTGTTGTCAAAGCTGCCTTTGTGTCAGACACTAATTGGGACATTCCAGTCATTCCATGATTGTCCCACTAGCTTTGTAGACTGTGTGGGTGCAGAACCATCTCCATCTGGATACTTAACAAAGTTCACTGACAGATCAGAGGTGGGTTTATAGATTGAGGGTTTTTTGTAGGAGTGATAAGTGAGCTGAAAACTTTCAGTAACTTGGAAAAAAAAATACTAGACAAAATGTAGCTCCAAACATCTGAATTTTTGCCAAAAATATTGAGTTTGGCAAGAAATGACTAAAAATCACAACATTGGGCAGAATGGTTGAGAAGGACTTGAACTGGTAAATGTCCTGGTGTGAAAGTATTCACTGTTATCAAAGCCTCAGCCACTGATCATTTTACTGACACACTTCAGGTGATGCACAGCACCAGTCGGAAGGTGATGGTGGTCAAGATCTATAAAAATGATGTGGACCAGGACAGCATCGTGCGAGAGATAAGTCTGCTGCAGAAACTCTCTCACCCCAACATCGTCAGGTACCAGTACCTGCTTTCTGCTCATGGTTCTGCTCCCTAAAGCTTTATTGTTGGGTCTATATTACAGGGGTGTAACGATACACTTTGTTTCCCTTCCCAGTATGATTATCAAGATTTCTTTGATTTTTGAAACAAAATGAGCTGCAAACTATTTGACCAAATACAATGATAATTTATTTGTAGGAAATACACAAAATATCATTACTAACTGAAATAGTCTTGTGTACTGGACACTGAAATAGTTTTACATCTTAAATAATAACATTAATAAGAGACACTGGGTTTCAGTTCAGAATGTCACCACACAGCTGATTTACAATGACTCCAAGCATCTTTCTACACTCTGTTTGAACACTTGAATGTCACACAGGTCATGTAGTGATGAGACATTTTGATTTAATAGCAGGTCACTCACAAACATACCGCCATTTACTGCACTGGAGTATATTGTGCCACGAGTGTGAGCAGACAGGACTTGAATGCAGCACGAGGGAGAGTCTCTTCAGATGCAGGACACTTATTCAGAATACAAAACTTAAAAAACATCCTCTGACTGGATTCTCACACCAGGCAGAAAACAAAACAAAAGCTGAGGGTAAACAGGAAGACAACGTGAACATCGACTTAAATCACAGAACATCACCTTAGCACGCACACACACACACAGAGAGAACAAAGACCTGACCAAGACTGAGATTGAGGCAGAGAGGTATATAGACTCAGGACACCAGGTGACACCAGTGAGACTGATGACAGAGACACAGGTGAGTGAGGTGACACTGATTACACAGCAGACACAGGAAGGAGGGAAGGCAGCCAGACCTGACAGTGTGTAGTCTGACTTTTATAGATAACACAACCCACTGCTCACGATGCATTGCGATTCTTTTTTTTTTAAATTATTTTAATCAACATGCATTTCAATTAATTTTTACATCCTTACCATAATATGTTCCCCCACAACAATGTGTTACATGAATATCAATATAATGTCATAAACCAGTAGCAACAGCAAAGCCAGTTAAATAAAGATAAAACACCAGAACAATGTTTACACTGAGAGTATTATGAAATATATAATATATAATAATCAGAAAACAATCAGAAATAAACATGTTAGTTATACCTGAAATTATTAAAACACCCTAATTTTGTAGCTACAAGTATTTACGAACTAGTAAGTATCAGTTATGAAATCAATCGATTTCTTTACCACATTTATATAAATTAAAACGTTATACTTTGATTTAAGACTAGGGTTTCCTATTTAATGTTTGTACATTTTCTGTTCTAACAACAATCATGTTCCTTTGACCTATTTTCCCTACCAATAAACATTTTTCTTTTCTTTAAATTATAAATATTGTAATTACTAAAATGATCTCTTGAATTCCAGATACCTGGGAATCTGTGTTAAAGATGACAAACTCTACCCAATCTTAGAGGTGAGATCTTTATTCCACTCTTTCTGGTTTTACAAACAACACATGCTAACCTGGTCCAGTACATTTGGCTCTGTCACTGCCACTGATCATCTGCTGACTGTTTCAGTACGTAAACGGAGGCTGTCTGGAGGAGCTGCTGGCCAGGAAAGATGTTCCGTTGAGCTGGAGAGAGAAGGTGGACCTGGCCTGTGACATCAGCAGAGGAATGATCTACCTGCACTACAAAAACATTTACCACAGAGATCTCAACTCCAAGGTAGACAGAACAGAACTTCAGAAAATAGCAGTCATGAAAAGAACTACTGCACTGTCTTGGTTTGTTAAAGACAGTAATAGTACTGGAAAAAACGTATGGTGTTGTTGTCTCGTGTCTGTAGCTAATTTTCCCAAGTCAGTTCTTGACCTGATTGGTTGGTCGGTTTGGGAGAGATTAAATATGCCAAAGAGACAGAAGTTCAACGTTGAACGCTTCAGTACAGAAAAAGGAGTTACAGCTAAGATAGAATGAAGGAGGGCAGGCTACTAGTTATGGGGTATTCAGCCGCGCAAAGGCTCTGAATTTTCTCAGCAGTCACCAGAGGTGATTAGCCTTTCAGAAGCCAAATTGGTCCAGTCGCTCTGGATTTAACTGCTTTGGCCAAATTAACCTGGATGACACAGCAGTCTGACTAAAGTGATGTAGGTGGTTCTGATTGAGCAGTTTCTCACCGTCAGGGCTGTGAAATCTGTCGTCTGTTCCCTGGAAATATCTTTGAAAAACAGCTTATGTAGGCTGGACAGGAGTTCATATCTCTGACTAACTTCACTGTTTGTTTGTTTTTTTGTGATATTAACATATAAGCAGCAGCCTGAGTCCGACACATTCCTTCAGATCCTGTTCCTGTCCTCACTCCCTGTGGTGAAACATAGCTAAGGGTCATCACGAAAACAATTATTGATACCAACACGAAACACCAAGTACGAATTCTTTCATCTGTATACTAGTCGTGACCAAGTATGATCACCAGTACTTGAGGGTTTGCTTTCAGTGACTACGTAATGAACATGAAGGCAGTGTTATATAGGCAGCTCCGATCACAGACGTTGTTTTAGAACAAACTGGGGCAGTGGTGGCTTACTGGTTAAGGAAGCGGACTTGCGTCTGGAAGGTTTCAGGTTCGAGTCCACCAGCTGCCAAGTTACCACAGCATGGCACCGTCCCCACTCACTGCTCCCCTTAAAGCTGCCCACTGTTGGTCACACGTTGGTGATGGGTTAAAAGCAGAGGTCACATTTGGTTGTGTGCAGTGATGAGCTGTGTCACAATGACAAGGAGTTCACTTTCCTTTCCTTGTTTGGCAGCATACCACTGAAACTATGAATAAATTTGAATAATAAAAAATTTAAATAATATTAAGAAATAATGCTTTTATACTACTACACATTTAAATTGAAAACAATGTCTCCTTATATGTAACCTGTAACCTATATACAGGTTTCAATAAACAAACACACACAAGATCAAGTCGAGTCAATATCTTTGTATGGTCCAGGTTCATAAGCCACATTTGTCTTGTTTGCCTTTTTTAATTTAAATTTTAAATAAAGATGAAATTAAGTTAAACTTACAGCCTGGTCCCTTTAGGCGTTCTGAATGACTCCTGCCGTTGTGGTTCTGGTTCAGTAACTGTGAACACTAACAGGCAGCAGAGCTGGAATCGTGGACCAAAGGCTTATTTCAGGGAGAACAGTCACTTCTGGCTTGGTTTTTTCTCTCGCTCTCTCTTTTTTTTTTTTTTCAAGTAATGAGTCATCACAGAGACAAATCTATTTTATTTTCTAGGACATACATTTGGCAAAGTCAATGATTCCTATTTATTGTGGTTATCATTGTCGTTATATATATATATAATACATTTGTTTTATTGGTGATTGTTTTTGCATCAAAAAACATCATTATAAAAATAATTTTCTGCTGTTTTTCTTTTTAAAAAATTCCTTAAACAACATTGTTCATGTCTAGACATCATTATCTTCTATTAAATGCTTAGTCAACCTGAAAAAAAAATGGCATTCACATCAGAGAGCTGCTGCTCTAACAGTTTGTGTTTTTTTTGTCTTTCACTTCACCCCCTCATTTTCATCACAACCATCGTCCTCCTCACCCCTCACAGGCTGACAAACACAGACAGAGAGACAGAGAAAGAGTTGTAGACTCACCTTGGCAGTGAATTATTCAGTGGACTGAAAGGTGCTGACAGCAGACTGTATTCAGTTTACTGATAACTGGAAGGACAGACTGAAGAGAGAAAGAGAATCTGTCTGATGCACACAAAGAAAAAGATGAACTCGTTAGGAGCAGAGCAGAAACATATCAGTAGATCAGTACAATATTTTATATTTACACTAAAATTATACATTTTTTATAGTGTGCAACAATAATAGTTAATGCTGCAGTTGAAGTTTAAATCCCAGAGTGAAGGAACTTCCAGTCCTGACATTATATGATCCTCTGACAAAGAAGATATTTTTATATGGTTTTTTTTCTTCTCAAGAAGTGACTGTTACCGTAATGTTGTCCAACACTGCCATCTGCTCCACACAGTCAGATATTATATCATTGTTATTTTATCTGCCTTTCTGGTTGTCTCTCTCTCTCTTTCTCTCTCTGTCTCTCTCTCCCTCTCTCTCCTGTCAGAACTGTCTGATCAGGGTGACGTCTCGGGCACATGAGGCCCTGGTGACGGACTTTGGTCTGGCCAGAGAGGTGGTGGAGCTGCCGGTCAAAGACACGGGCAGGAAACTGTCGTTGGTGGGCTCGGCGTTTTGGATGGCACCAGAGATGCTGCGAGGAGAACCCTACGACCGCAAGGTGGCGAAGATAAACTCAGAACGTCAGATACAGTCGTACACAATCTTGACGTGTTCTCTAGCGTTACCATTGTGTATGTTATGAAATGTGTTTAACAGTATTGCCTATTGATCTGGGCTTGAAAAATAAAGGTGTCAGATCGTATTAGCTTTTTAATTAATTGACGACGAGTATGGTTATATCGTGAGTTTACACCTTTATCCTTATTTTGGAAGTTGGTTGCTACCTGTCTTTGAGGACAGTCTTGTATGAGCGTCATCTTGTCCAACCACTGACAGCATATCATGGCTAAGTATTAGCGTATGCTGCTATTATTCAACAGGAAAAAAAGAGTGAAGTAAATTTAGCCAAAGTCAGTTTGTGGCCACTGCAGTACTTAAATATGATTTTGTGGACACACACATTAACTTGTCTGCAGGTGTCTGTTAAGGTGTTATTATCACGACTATTAAAAAAATCACTAGCCTTCACTAATGTCAAGATACTGAAAAGTTGAGATTTACAAGAAATATTTTAAATATTACTGTGTTTCTGTTACATAATAATGATACACTGTAGTAATATTATTTGTTTATCTAACTGTTTATAATATTTTACCATCGATTTCTTCAGTTAATATTAAAACAAATGTAAGTTGTTATCACCTTACAGAAACACAGTGAAAATGTGATGAATTATCTGTGCTCTGGTCTGAACAACACTGACTAAACTGCAGCTGTAAAAAGACAAAAAAGCATCCTCAAACTTAAGGCCAAACTTATTAATTAATATTTCTTTCTAAATATTTCTTTTTGCGTAAACTATTAATTAGTAGATCTGTGTGATGTGATTGTAAACAAACTCCTCCTCTCTCACCCGTCTCAGGTGGACGTCTTCTCCTTCGGTATTGTGCTCTGTGAAATCCTGGCTAGAATTCCTGCAGATCCAGAGATTCTTCCCAGAACAAAGGTACAGAAACCAAGTTACGGAACACACTCGTTCAAACTGAGTTTGAACAACATTATGTAAGAACTCTTTAGACATTTGAAACCAAAGTGACCAAAGTTGAACTGTGTTCCAGGACTATTGTCTGGACGTGAAGATGTTCAGAGAGCTGGTCAGTGATTGTCCTCAGCGTCTCCTGGACCTGGCAGCCAACTGCTGTATGGTAGGTGGATCAGTATTGTCAGCTGGATCCAGAGTAATCTGATCACGTTCAATTTGGGAATTTGTTAGCAATTATAAATGAATGTGGTCTACATGTTGTGTGACCTGATTGTTCAAAATACAAGAGTTTAATTTGTCACATACACAGTATGACACAGTACAATTGTACAACACAATAGTAAAAACGTCTTCCACTTTAAACACAGATGATTATGAATCACATTTTCTGTGTTCTCTCACTTCAGCTGGAGTCTTTCAGGAGACCAGCCTTCACTGAGCTGCTGGATGAACTGGGAGAAGTGGCTGAGAGCCTTGAGCTGCCTTTTCCTCCTCCTCCTCCTCCTTCTTCACTTCCACCACCTCCACCCAAACCTGATCTGACCACCACTTGAGCTCACCCAAGTCAGGAGTTTACCTCCTCCTCTTCAGCTTCCCCCAGACCCCAGGGTTGAGATGTTTAGGTCACACTTCTGGACAGGAAACTGACTTATTCACAGCACAGGGTAGCCGATGAGGTAAAGCCCCCCTCTCTGGATCGCTCTCCTCCTTGGCTGCTTCTCTCTGTGTGTCATCACTGAGCAGGTGTACAAATATATAACAGTTTCAGACAGAACCTCCTCTTTATTTACCTTATTTCCCCCTGTCTCTCATCTTAGCTCCACTCTTGTAGTTCATGCATCCAGAACACACTGGAGTTCACATGGAGGTTCACACTAATTAAAATAACAAGGATATTTTTTTCTTGTACTTCCTTATTTTCTTTACGCTCTGTTGCTTTCTTCAAGAAGTCTTATTTTCCAAAAAACAGTTTCATCTTCTTTTGCTTAATATTTCTTAGTGTTTTTTTTTTCTGTATCTGAAGTTGTAACCTTTTCATCTTTCCTTTCTTTATTACATTGCCGTTACATTCACAGTAAATGTAAATAGTCAGTTTTTATGGTCTCATTTTGTTAATGTTATATTTATGCCGTAATTTCATCTGTCTTGTTTGAACTGAAGTTCAGAGTATGGATGATTCTCTGATTGGTCTGGGTTTTCACTGTGCTACGAACAACTGTTTGGTCTCTGTGATTGTTTTATTGAAACAAATTCATTGTAAAATTCTTGATTCTGAAACAGAATACATTGAGTCAAAAATGGTATTTGTGATTTACAGATGAAAAATAACTAGAGAATCGTTTTACTAATAAAATAAACAAAACATATGACAAAGCTTTTCTTAAATAAAAATGCTGATACGTTAAATGAAACAACTTTAAATATAAAAATATTGCTAATTTTACTGAAATAAATATACACAAACTGTTTATGTTGCTTTGAATATTATCATTTGAACTAATTTCATTGTTTTGAAAATATCCAGCAAAATTCATAAATTTAAAAAAAAAATGTCATAGTTCATAACTGGGTTACATTGTTTTCTTTTAATGACTCCTTAATTATTTGTCTTCAAAATCATCAGAATCTCAAAAAGATCATATATATATATATATATATATATATACTATATAATGTATTTTTAAATGTAATAGTTCTACACGATAAACATGTTTTATTTACTTCTTAACTGTAAATTGAGTTATGTCGTGTTTTCATCTGTTCAAAGGTGTTTTATCTGCGTCCAACATGAGACACAGTGACAGTGGACAAAAAGCTGTTTTTCATGTCTGGGCTCCTCATCACTGTCTCCTCTGAGAGGCTGCTGATGTTAATTTTCTCTTTGAAGCAACGCTTTTCAGCATAATCAGCTGGAAAAATCTCTAATTCAAGGACCAAACACACACACACACACACACTGACTTACTGTGTGACATTAAAGCACCAAACAAGTTCTGGAACTCTTCATTCATTCATCGCTCTTCTGTTTGTTTGGGTTTTTTTGTTCAGTCTTATTTAAAGAGAATTAAATAAAAAAACTGTATTTATTTGTGTATGTGTTTGGCTATTTTTCTGTCCGCTTTTTTCTACACGATTAACTAACCCATTTATACTTTGTTTTTGTAAACGTTTAGCTGTAGCTAATTTGTACCTGTTAATATAACTTCAATGTATCTGTTACTCCACATATGGTAATTATATATTAATAAGACACAGGGATGGATTGATGGATGGATGTACTTCATTGATCCCAAAAAGTGTAAAATCACAAGGGAAAAACTTCATCAAGACAATATATGTTTTAAAATAAATCAAAAGTAAAACAATGTTAAATAACAGAGAAAAAATAGGCTCAGTGTGTAACCTTTGTCTTACTCTTTAACAGCTTGTTAATTTTAAATTCATTATTTTATACACAATATGCCCAGTTTAATGGGTTGTTAGGAGGATATTTTAGGTTTCAGTTCAATGTTTATTTTAATCTGTAAAACAATATTATCAGAGACCATCTCTTTGTTCTGGTCAACATTTAGCAGCAGGGGATTCATCCCAGACACAGTCCTGCTGTGTAATCAGTGTCATCACACTCACTTGTGTCTCTGTCATCAGTCTCACTGGTGTCATCTGGTGTCCTGGGTATATAAACCTCTCTCCCTCACTTTGTCTTGGTGGGGTTGTGTTTTTGGGTCGTGTTTTTGGGTCTTATGCTGATACTTGTGTCTTTGTTGCTAATTCTGATTCATGTCTGCTCTGTTGTTGTTCATGCCTGGTATTGTTCTAAAGTTTCACCACCACAGAAAACACAGAGTTTTGATGGGTTGGACTTTTTAGGCATGGAAACAAGGCAGTGATGGAATTGAATATCTTGTAACAGGATAATATTAAATCCGTACTGGACTGGGACTGGTCCTAAAGTTGAAGAATAAAAAGTCAATGTTAATTCTGACTGTTTAGATTTTTAACCCGAATACAGCTATACATGGAGTCTTAAATGATTTAAAATAAGTTGAGAATCAAAAGTCGTGGTTGAATGTAAAATACTCAGACTGTCCAGAAGGTGGTAGTGTTTGCTTAGCAAGTTCAGTTCTGCCTTCGCTCTCACAACTGAAATCAATGTGGGCAGGTGTAAAAGCTGTCAACACGGACGACAACTAAATCAAAACTGTATGTATTTGAGGTAAACTGTGACAACGCTGTGACCGTCTTTAACCCTTGTGTGGTGTTCGGGTCTGTGGGACCCGTTTTCACTTTTTAATAAAAGAAAAATGATATAATTATTTAATATTTCAAACTGAGACTCACTGGCTTTGGCTCATTTTCTGTGAAGAACATATATCAGAATACATATTTAATGACCACACACCATACACCCCCCCCACACATTTCTATTACATATAAGATGTTCGGGTCCACTGGACCCGGGGCTAATAGAAGTGTGGAAACACACACTCACACACTCACACACATACACACACACTTACACATCTACACACACATACACACACACACACAAACAGCAGGCCTAGACAGGAGGAGGACAGAGTGTAGGTACACAGCACATACCTATAACATATAAATGTGACCTAACAAAGGTAAAGGGCAAATATTAACCATATATATTGTTTATACTGCTTGTAATTGGGATAAGGTAAACATCTGTTCAGTATTTTAACATAAAAGTGTTGATTGTGAGGCATCAAAAGCCACAAAATGCAACGGGTCCATCAGACCCACAAACACTGGCTGAGTAACAACAATATGAACATTACACAAGGGTAAAGACAGAGGTAGGACTGATCTGCTCAATGTGGTGAAGTTGTAGAAAAAGTTTATTCAGACTACAGTTTATATGTCTATACCTGTACAGTGGTGGACAGGAAGGAAGGAAAGTGAACTACCTGTCACACCACTGAACACAACCAAATGTGACCTTTGCTTTTAACCCATCACCAAAGTGAACAGTGGGCAGCTTTAAGGGGAGCAGTGAGTGGGGACGTTGTCATGCTCAGAGCACCTCAGTGGTAACTAACTTGGCACCACTGCTCTATATAGATGTGAGTATATTCACATACCTCAGGAAAAAGTAATTAATGGTGATGATCAGCGTGACAGAAAGAGATAAAAGATAATTAGGTCAAGAGGTTAAACAGTTTGGTTTTACGACCAGAAAAAGGTGTGATTTTTGGTATGAGTAACGGTAAAAAAAAAAAATCTCTCATACATAAAAAAACCCATTAAAAATCAAACTAGTTTTATCCTACAGCCCCTTTTCATGAACCCAAAAACAGCATGGATTCTTCCAAACAGCCCTGATCTACATTCTGAACTGAGTCACTGAAATAACCTTCTTTCCTCATACCAATCAATACCACACACTGGTCCTACATCACACTTCCATGCTCTGCTGGACACTCACTCATCACGTGTACGGATCATCACTCAGGTCACACGTAATTTGCAGGGAACTGTTTTGACGTCACTTGCCTGTGACCTGATTTTATCGTGTCCGCGGTCAAATCTTTCTGAGCTCTTCATGAGCCACAGGAATCATGTAAGATTTAATGATGGGGAAGCTGTCACGACAGATTAGACACAGAAACTTATTATTATCTATTTTCTAGGTCGAGGTGAAATCTGAGTCTGGGTCTTATCTGGGTGAATAACAAGCAGTGAGGTCAGGACAGAGGGACAACATGTCCATGAAACTTGCAATTATCTTTGACACTCTCATTTAAAAGGACTGTGATTCAATTAAGTACTACTTTACTGACATACGTAAGAGTATTCTACCTTATGCTGCTGATTTTGGCTTAATTTAATTCAAAATTCATTTTATATTTGCCTTTTTCAGATTTATCTTCTAAGCTGCTTTTGTAGCTAATCTGCAGCTATTTAATTACATGTGTGTCTCATCAGTGACAACTAATTAACGCCTTTATGACTCTTTTTCTGGCTTCACCTACATTATCTTGTTTTGTCTGTCTCTGTCTTTTTTATTATTTTTCTTACTTATAAGCAATTACAGAACTAACTATTATATATTATATGATATATTTGGCTAATTTTGAAAACATATTTCCATTTTTGCGATATATTAATCACCAACAGTAAAGAGGTCACTTAAACACTCTGATATACCTGTTGGTGTAATTATAGTATTGTGGTCAAAGAGTGAAGAAAAAGGAGACAAAAAAACAACAGTTTTTAGGTCAAAGTCAAGAGTTTTTGTCCTCGTCGTAGCGAACACGTGTGTGTTGTTAGGACTAAAGTAGGACAGGTGGAGACTCTCTGCTTTGGTCTGCACATCACACACTGAATCACAAATGAGGTTTGAAGGATGGGGTTTCAGGGAAAGTCTTTTGTGTCAGACTGAGGAGGCTGTGTCCCTGGACTCCTGCTGGTCACTCGGCTTTTAACCATCACCATTTATCCCCAAAGCCTTTATAACACATCACAATTTTTCCAAAGGGATAAAAGTCTAAAAGTAGGTTATTCATTCAAGTTCAATGTTTTTTGGTTGTTTTTTTTTCCAGACATTTTTATTTTCTCACCTTTAAATGAATTACTCTAAGTGTCAACATCACCGCTTGTTGTCTTTTTTCCAGTGCCCCAGAGAGCACGTGCTCCAGATTCTGATTTTAGAACACAAACCCTGTTACTGAGTTTAAGGGAAAATATATGAGCTTCATAAAGTCTCTGCAAATAAAATATACATCTGCTTATCTCCAAAATTATATCAAAGCTATATAAACATTAAATCCTATTTGTCGAACAGGTTTCAATTTGTTAACGTAAATGAGGAATCCTCCATACTCACTAAAGTGAACTATGGAGTTCCTCAGGGTTCCGTGCTTGGCCCAATTCTTTTCACTTTGTACATGCTGCCACTAGGCAACATCATCAGGAAGCACAACATAAACTTTCATT